CAAAAATGAACAAGTGCGACTCTATCAAGCTGAAAAGCTTCTGTACAGCAAAGGACACCATCAATTGAACAAAAAGGTATCCTACACCATGGGAGAATATATTCATAAATGACAGATCTGACAAAGGGTTGACATCCAAAATATATAAAGAGGTCACCCACCCCAACAAACAAAAAGCAAATAATCCAATTAAAAAATGGGTAGAGTAGCTGAACAGACACTTCTCCAAAGAAGAAATTCAGACAACCAACAGACACATGAAAAGATGCTCCACATCGCTTGCCATCAGAGAAATGCAAATTAAAACCACAGTGAGATATCACTTGACACCAGCAAGGATTGCCACCATCCGAAAGGTAAACAACAACAAATGTTGGCGGGTTGTGGAGAAAGGGGAAGCCTCCTACCCTGCTGGTGGGAATGTAAATTAGTTCAACCATTGTGGAAAGCAGCATGGAGGTTCCTCAAAAAGCTCAAAATAGAAATACCAGTTGACCCAGGAATCCCACTTCTAGGAATTTACCCTAAGAATGCAGCAGCCCAATTTGAAAAAGACAGATGCACCCCTATGTTTATCGCAGCACTATTTACAATAGCCAAGAAATGGAAGCAACCTAAGTGTCCATCAGTAGATGAATTGATAAAGAAGATGTGGTACATATACACAATGGAATATTATTCAGCCATTAGAAGAAAACAAATCCTACCATTTGCAGCAACATGGATGGAGCTAGAGGGTATTATGCTCAGTGAAATAAGCCAGGCAGAGAACGACAAGTACCAAATGATTTCACTGATATGTGGAGTATAAGAACAAAGAAAAACTGATGGAACTAAACAGCAGCAGAACCACAGAACCCAAGAATGGACTAACAGTTACCAAAGGGAAAGGGACTGGGGAAGATGGGTGGGAAGGGAGGGAGAAGGGGGGGAGAAGAAGAAAGGGACCTTATGATTAACATGTATACTGTTGGGGGGGGCACAGGGAGGGCTGTGCAATGCAGAGAAGACAAGTACTGATTTTACAGCATCTTACTATGCTGATAGACAGGGACTACTGGGTTTTGTGGGTGGGACTTGGTGAAGGGGGGAGTCTAGTAAACATAATGTTCCTCATGTAATTGTAGATTAATGATACCAAAAAAAAATACTACTAACCTAGAATTTAAAACTTAGCAAAAAAAAAAAATCCTTCAAAGATAAATGTGATATAAAGACATTTTCAGACAAATAGAACCCAAGAAATTTGTTACAAACTTCATTTAAAGCAATATTAAGGGGATTTCTTCAGGCAGAGGGAATATGATCTCAGAGAGGAACACAAAATTGCAGGGAAAAACAAAGACCAATAGAAAATATAAGTATGCGGGCAAATATAAAGAATATTAATTGAAAATGTACAGTAGAAGACAACTATAGTAACTTCTTATGATTTCAAAATATATGTAGAATAAAAATACATGTAGTGTTGCATGACAACCACTACTATAAAAGATGATGAGGTAAATGGAGTTAAAGTGTTTTAAGCTTCTAGTAGTGTTGGAGAAGCACTGGAAGTAATAACTTGTTTCAGACTGGAATAAGATGAGATTCATGTTGTGACTGCTAGGTCAGCTACTAAAAGGATGGCAGAAGAATGGCAGTTAGCAAGTTAAGGAGGGAAAACTGAAATGATAAAAAAATATTAATAATCCAAAAGAAGGTAAGAAAGATGAGAAAAGGAATGTAAAGCAGGTAGCATAAACATAAGATAGAGATAAACCTAAATGTACCAATAATCCAATTAAACATAAATGAATAAACTATTTCAATTAAAAAAAAAAGGATTAGGTAAAGGCCTGGCAGCAGGACAGAGATTCTGCCTCCAGGAACCTGGGTGCAAAGCACAGGTCTCTGTCTTCTATGAAAAACTAGCCTGTTGTTTTCCAGATTCACATCAAAACAGCCTGGTTTTTCAGAGCTGAAGGGAAGATCAATTACAGATAGTATCACTGTTAACGGCTAACAAATGGAAGAAATTCTGTGATAACAAAACGCAAATGTCTTGAAACCTTAGCACATGGCCCACAGACCAGTAGTGGGTCTACAATCTCATGGTCCAGAAAGTTCCAGGCTGCTGTAGAGAGAATTGATTTTTTTAACCTCATAGACATGCAATAAACATAGGTGAAGTCAATCTAATCGTTATTTCTCACAAGCCATGATCTCTTTAACCATGGCTGCTCCCTTACCCAGGATAATGCCGTTGGGCTCCTCAGGAGGCTGCCACACGATCCTCACAGAGGTGAGTCTCACTTCGGGGAACACAAGCCTCACTGGTGGGCCTGGGACTGAAAGGAAAACAGAACCATGAAGTAGGCACTGGTACACACCATCTGGGTGCCTGGTGAGGTTACATAGCATTTGATGGGCTAGCTGGGCAGTTACACCCATGGCAGACACTATTCATGGGCAAAACACTCTAGGTTCTGGGCGATGCTTTCAGAATCTAACTGGCTCTTTGTGGTCCCAAGTGATTTTGAGGAAACACCTCATTTTGAATCCAGCTCATCTGCTTTCTAGGTTTTGAAACAGTGCTCATAAGCGTCCTGGGAGTCCTGGGGGTGTCATCTGCATGAGGCTGGCAGACCAATTGCTCCATGGCCTCACTGAATGTGTGCCAAGTTGAAAGGGAAGATTTCACTAATCTGGGCTGATCTCTCTCCTGGGCTTCACATCCATAAAGCAGGTGTTAGATAATAAAATGGCTCAATGTCCCTCCCAACTCTGAAAGGAGCTAAAGATTACTGGTAAAACAACACGTTTATAACCGGTGAGTTTTCTGTTTTGAACACTAACCCTTGCCTGCACTGTCCTAGAAAATAAAGAGTTGATGTGCACAAATAGATGTAGTGATTCTTATTACGATGCACTGATTAAAAAAGCACATATCATGACACCATTGAATAAAAAGCCACAGCCTCGTGAAGAATGTTTACTGACGCAGATAAGCGAGCATGGGGCCAAGATCAGATCTTGTTGGAACTTAGTAACTGACTGGTTCCCAGGCGAGAGGAGGCAGGCAAGGAGCATTCCATACACAAGTAATATGATGTGTGTTACAGCCATCCTGGCCGTTGAGTTCTGCCTCTTAATTAAGCTGAGAACAGTATTTTACATTTTAAATATGTATTTGAGTCCTGGGTTTGGGTAATATAAATTCAAGAAGGAGGCCATAGGCTCACACACCAGGAGCAGCTCACAGACACGCAGACTCTGACATCAGTTTTACGTGGTGGTCTTCCCGTGGCGGGCTGTTTGGATCCCGCTGAAGCGGGGGAGGAAAATCATGTTTATATTTGGACTCTGAGGGATGAAGAAAGCTCATTGCCAGCCTATACTGTAGAAAGAAACAATCATAATTGGCTGAGGTTGGAGGAGCAGTTTCTAAAATGCCTCTTTTACTTTTCATTCCTGGAGCCAGGACACCCTACAGCTTCATGTTATTTTGCAAAGAGAGGACCTTCAGGTCATATGTCCCCTCTCAGGTCCCCAGCAACCCTGAACCTGCATTCAGGTGAGGATCACAGAACAGCTGTGGGGCTCCAGGTGAGCCCTGCCTGGCGCTGCCTCTGAGCGAACTGGAGAAAATAGCTCAACTGAGTGGCGAATGTGCGTGTGGGACTCATTTAACTACCTCAGTCAGATGCTTAGGAGAACCTACAGGTGCTTACTTCTGTCAGACACCTCTAACCCCTGAGGGGGGTTTTTGCAGGGGAGATCACTATTTCCTACTTGAATATTTCTCTCTGAATATATGTTACAGTCTGTTTAATAATTAAAATGTAAAGGAGCCAACCTGTAAGTGTCTGACACCTGCGAAGTGGCAAAACACATTTACTGATGATTTAGACTTCTGTAAAAACAAAGCTGTCAATATGCACTTGTTATCTGGGCCTGGAAACACGGGGTTGGGTGCCCTGGGAGGCTGACAAAGACCCCCATGCTACCTGGAACTTCTCACTATCTCTTACTGAGAAAACGGTGGGGCAGCCAGAAGGCCCAGGTACATGGGTCAGGAGTGGGGTTTCTGACTGGATGTGTGCAGACGCCACCGAGACGCAGCCCCATGTGCTGTGGCCCCAGCCCACCTGGCCTTTATTGCACTGCCCATTGCAGAGTTACAATTGAAATGCTGTGTAAGTTCATAATTAGGCTGTAAAAATTCACTCCAGGCTGAGATTGGCCATATAAACAGGGACAGAAAAACAACTCTGTTTTGTGTTCCTCAGCTGAAGAAAGAAAATAAAAAGTAGTTTGAAAATTAAGTTACACATGACAATTGGATTGTTAAAGGAAACCTGGGAGACCAGCAAAGTTGCCTGCCACACACGTACCGTCATCTTTGGTCCTCTCGAGGATGAGGGGCATGCTGGGGACCCCGTTCCCAATGCGGGTAAACGCCAGCACCTGGAGTTCGTACAGCACGTACTTCCGAAGGCCCGCCAGGAGCACGGACTGCGTGTGGTTCCCTCGCACCATGTGGCTCCCGGGCTCAGGGTCCAGATCTTTGGCCCGGAACAGAATCTGAAGCATCAAGCCCCCAGCATGGTGGTCATGAGGATGCAGTATGCTAGGAAGGGGCCCCAGGGCACACATGGGCTCACATCCATGAGGCAGGGACCAGCTGCCTGTGTTTCTTCCCTGTGCACAGCTGTGAAGGCTGATGGACCTGATTTTTAGGCTGGCATTTGCGGGAAAGATGGTCACACATTTGTGCTCCCGACCAGAAGGTTAGCTGCCATATAACCCAGCCCACAGCTGTGCAAGCTGGCTGCCCAGCCATCATTTGCAAGATCTGGGGCACCCAATGGCAGCCCAGTCAGCCATGCCAGCCACAGCCTCAGAAACGAGGGTATGGCTAGGAACACAGAGACATCCATGTTTTCTAAAGAAGCCAGAAGCCACTTGGGTTCCCAGCTTACTGGGAAATTGGCTCCTGCCTCAGAAGGGCTGCTGCCCTCCCAGAGCCCAGGCCCCAGCCCCCGCTATTTATTGCTGCCTGTGCAGACATGGCCCTGCTGTGATGCTCTACCCCCATTTCCTCACTTGAAGTTCACCCTCCCTGATCTGGTCCCTGAGATTAGAGACTCAGAGGCCATAAAAGATGGATATCTTCAGGGGGATTTTGAAAACAGCTCAGCAAGCTTTTTTCTCCAGAACCCAGTTATGTTGTGTGGGGTTTGGGTCACTGGACCTACTCACTGGGGTCGCCATGACTAATGGGCCAGAAGGGAGCAGTCAGAAAGCTCCAGGTGGGGGATGTGAGGACAGGTGGAGAACAGACTCTGGAGTCACACCATGGACGTCACTGTAGAGGGAAGCTCAAGATCGGTGCAGCTGTGCCAGACAAGCATGGCCTTGCTGGCCCGAGCCATGGGGATCTGCTCTGCTGCTGGGGTGGGGAGTGGGGTGGGGCAGTATGCTGAACACATTTGGGAAATCCGCTCTGAGCAAAATCAGAAGGAGCTTTTAGGGGTCTGGGTAAGTGCACTAAGATGAGCCCAGAAACGGCTCACAGAGGAGGAGCCGGAAGGCATCCCCTCCCCGTTGACACCATTCCAAGGGCCAGCCAGTTGGTGACGACACGCGTGCAGACACTCACACATGTGCAACGCTTACTTGGCACTTTATAAAATGCCCTATTTCATTCTTGTGCCAACCCTGTGAGGGAGCTCCTGTTTTACAAGTGAGGGCCTGGAGGCTTGCTGTTGAGGTGGTCGGAGGCTATTTGTGTCTGTTTTGGCCTGTGGTTATGCCAGGGCCTCGTGCCCAAACTGTAAGAGAGCTTAGCTGAGACAGCTGATGTGGAAATCATGAAATGGGCTGGTGCTGTGGATCTGTAAGGAATTGGGAGCCCCTTGGTTTGGGGGATGACACGTGGTGGCCCCTTCACAGCATTAAAAAAAGAAGGTCACCTTGATACATACCTTGTAGCCCAATATGAGCCCATTCTGGTCCTGTTCGGGTACTGAAGCCCATGTCAGTAAGATCTGGGTGGAACTGACGGCCTCAGCTGACACGTTTTCAGGGGCAGCAGAAGGAACTGCAAAGAGTGAGTTAAATAGATTGGCAGCAAAAGTCTAAAGGCTTCTACAAATAAAGGTCCAATTTTTACCCAAATAATCAAGTTGTCCTTGAAATAGCACTGTATTCTGAGCATTTTGTAGTGATCAGATTAAATCTGCAGGGGTATAACAGAAATGTAAATCTCCTTAATATTGGCAACAAAGCCCATAAATCCTGGGTATTTAGGAGCTCAATTTTACCTGCGTCTTCCAAGCAAGAAAATATGCTAGGCTGTTTTTATATTAACTTTTGGGAACTACAGACTTCTACCTCAAATGGGAAGTCCTCACTTTCAGACACCAGCTCACTGACTTCTGTAAGTGTGGTGTTTTGTGAGGGGGCAGGTGGGGCTGGAGAGAGGAGATGATTTTATGAGCTACTTGGAGCGGGGAGGGAAGAGTTACTAAGTGCTAAGTGCACACCCATGTGCTAGGGACTTCAGATGCAGAATGGCACTTAATGCCCCCAATAACCTGGTGAGGTAGGTCACCCCTGGGGGCCTTCTCTACCTCTACAAACAGACCCATTCGATCACTGACCCACCCATCCATCCATCCAACCACCCACCCACAGGTAAGTGCCTCCTCCTCTCAGGGAAGCGATGGTGAAGGTAGCTGTTAGTCTGCTATAGAAGGTAACCCGGGTTTGCACAATGACGCTGTCTCCAACATCCGATTCCTAGATTTTCTACACCAAGTGACTTGGTCTTTGTTATGGGTTGAACTGTGTGGCCCCTAAATTCATATGTTGGAGTCTGAACCCCCAGAACGTCAGAATGTGGCCTTATTTGGAACCAGGGTTGCTGCAGTTGGAGCTTGCTCAGATGAAGTCACACTGGAGTCGGTGGCCCTAATCCCCTATGACTGAGTCCTTCTAAAATGAAGGTCACTGGAAGAGACATGCATGCAGGGCTAGTGCCACGGGAGGGCTGCCATGTTCCAGAGGCTGGAACAGACTCCCTGGTGCCTTCAGAGGGAGCGTAGCCCTGCTGACACCTCGGTCTTGGACGTTTGGCCTCCAGACTGCGAGACAATCACATCCTGTGGTCGGTCATAAGCTACCCAATTTGGGGTACCTGGTTATGGCAGCCACAGGAAACAACACAGCCGTTGAGAAAAAAACACCAGAATTCACCAAAACCTGGGAAGAAGTGCTGGTGTGTCATTTGGCAAGTGTGGCCAGGTGACTGCTACAGCCTGTGGTTTCTGTGGACGGAAGCCAAAGGCAGGCCCAGCAGCAAGTCCAGTCTGACAGGACAAGCTGCTGGGGATGCTGAGCCTGGGTGCACCACCTGCCTCTGACCCCTCTCATCCCCAGAGAGGGAAGTCATGGAGGCCAATGACCTCGGCTGCCAGCCCAGGAAGGGCAGCTCCCGGCTTTGCTCCCTCGCCTCTGAGGGTGGGACCATCTTGAGAACACATTAGCCTGGCTGCCACTGCAGATCAGTCACTGTGCCCAAAGGCAGAATCAACTGGTTTGTGCCGGTAGAATAAAAGCACAGGGAACCTCCTTATATTTTTGGAGAGAGAGAGTGCGGTCAGCCCGTACCTGCAGATTTGCTTTCTTCCCAAATGCATCAGCTGAGAGCTTTCATTGGGTCATTCAGTCACTCAACAAATAACACGAATTTATTGGAGCAGGTAAATGTCACAGGGAGGGATAGTTATAATTCCAAGTTTGCTCAGCTCTCTGAAGGGAAGCATGCTTGCCACCCACACACCCTGTGTACCCGTGGCTTCCCAGGTGGCTCCGTCCATGTTCTCTATGCCCGTCAGGGGCTCACTGGGCATCTTACATCCCACCATGGCAGTTACTAGGAATTGCTTACTCATAGGCTTATGCTATTAAAAAAGTGAATTAAACTGCTACCTTGAATGAACTGTAAATTAAATGAATCACTATCATTTAAAGAAAAGGTAAACCAGCAATTTATCTGACTTTATTTTCCAACCTTATGCAGAATAAGATAACACCACATATACTGTAGGCTCAAGATATTAGATATTAGTGCTATGTTCTAAAAATTGTCCTTGTCTGAAAAAGTGGGGCCATTGTCATGGTAACACAATTGGTCTCCTGTCAAATCCTTAACTGTTTCCCCTGGGTCAGTCTTTGAAACTCTAAGTGCCCAGTTCTCACTACTGATCTACAAATAATAGCTGATTTTCCAGATGTGGTAATATGTGCATTCATTTCCCAGAGGGCCGTCTGTGTCCCAGGAGAATGAGGGCAGCTTGGTAATCGCAGCACCTCAGACCCGGTGCCTAGGATGCAGCTGGGTTCCTAACAAGGAGGCAGGCAGTGTTCAGTGGTTATGACCTGGATTAAAACTTCAGCTGATTCAAAACCCATCAGGACAAAATCTGCCATTTAGTTACAAAGTATTTCTGTTTTTAAGATTTGAAAAGAAGAAATGTCACACATTAGCTATTTCGAGGTAGATTCAACTCCTTTCCCAACCTGACATCTTGAGTTTGGAACCGTTCTGGAAATCCCCTTTTCAGCCTAAACGATGCCACTTCAAACTCTTCCCTTGTCCCTCTGCATTTGTTCTCCCCTCTATGGGATTTCTCACTGTTGAGCTCACTGCTAGGCCTCTAGTGGTCTCTTGATTTTTTAAGGCCTCATTTATCCTTAAAGTATAACATAATGTACCACAAGATGTCATGAAACTAGTTAGATTGCACTTCAAACTTGGGGACTTCATTTAAATGTGGTTCAAAATATCAAAGTCCACATGTCTAGCAATGGCTCTTGGGAGGCCTGCCTGTGGCATCCATTTCAGCACCAATATGCCGCCTGGGGCGGGTGTGAGGCCAGCATCTGCATGAACAGGAAGGCAGCGCAGTGACACTGCTGCACCTGGGAGGGGATTGCGGGTTAGAGGCAAGGGGCTTCCTGCAGCAAGAGGTCCTGGAAGTGCAGCCTGAGGCAGAGGGCCTGAAGCCCTGCAGGGCCAGTGATGCTGCAGGGGTGCCCAGGAGTGCCGTGGCTGTAAGGGACCAGAACCCACCCAAGAGCAGGGTCAGCCCACAACAGGTCCTTGGGAAACACTCTTGGCATTAAAAATGTCTCAAGTCGGAACCCCCATATTTGGAAATGACGATCAACAGCCTGGTTACTCAGTTTGCGATAGGCCCGATGTGCCTGCACGTCTCACCTTCCCCGTGTGGCCACACTGTTGTGTGTTCACTGGCCATGACTGAGGGCTCCAATTTCTCTATGTCCTCACCAACACTTGTTATTGTCCATCTTTTTAAATGTTTTTATTTTAGCCAACTTAGGGGCATGAGGGGGCATCTCACTGTGGTTGAACTTTCTTTTCCCTGGTTAGTGATGTGAGAGTCCTTTTACATGCCTATTTGGCTGATGACCTGTCTTTTTTGGACGAATGTCTGTTCAGGTGCTTTGTTTAGGGCTTACCTGGGTCTCCTGGTAAGGTGGACTTGGAGGAGTTTTTCCACATATATCATGTATGCCAGTTCTTTATCAGATATGTGATTTGCAAGTATTTTCTACTGTTCAGGGGATTTTCTGTTTTACTTTATATGGTATTTTCTGTTTTACTTTACGGTATTTTGAATCAAAATTTCTATTTTGATGAAGTTCAGTTTGTCTACTTTTCTTTTGTTGTTTGTGCTCATGGTGTCAGGAACCAAGTGCTACGTCACTTTCTCTTCTGGGAGCTTCTGGACCATTCACATAGTCTAAATTCAGACCGCAAATCTGAGTGAGGCACAGACAGGACACAGAGTCACTGTTTATGTCCCCATTCAGAGTCCAGGTGGACAGGTAGATACCAACACACTTCCTGGGCAGATAGTTTTACTTTATTTTATTTTATTTTATCATTAATCTACAATTACATGAAGAACATTATGTTTACTAGGCTCTCCCCTTCACCAAGTCCCCCCCACAAACCCCATTACGGTCACTGTCCATCAGATTGGTAAGATTCTGTAGAATCACTACTTGTCTTCTCTGTGTTGCACAGCCCTCCCTGTGCCCGCCCCCAACTGTATACATGTTAATCGTAATGCCCCCCCTTTTTTCCCCACCCTTATCCCTCCCTTCCCACCCATCTTCCCCAGTCCCTTTCCTTTGGTAACTGTTAGTCATTCTTGGGTTCTGTGATTCTGCTGCTGTTTTGTTCCTTCAGTTTTTCTTTGTTCTTATACTCCACATATGGGTGAAATCATTTGGTACTTGTTGTTCTCTGCCTGGCTTATTTCACTGAGCATAATACCCTCTAGCTCCATCCATGTTGCTGCAAATGGTAGGATTTGTTTTCTTCTTAAGGCTGAATAATATTCCATTGTGTATATGTACCACATCTTCTTTATCCATTCACCTACTGATGGACACTTAGGTTGCTTCCATTTCTTGGCTATTGTAAATAGTGCTGCGATAAACATAGGGGTGCATCTGTCTTTTTCAAATTGGGCTGCTGTATTCTTAGGGTAAATTCCTAGAAGCGGAATTCCTGGGTCAAATGATATTTCTATTTTGAGCATTTGAGTTCCAGAATGGTTCAACTAATTTGCATTCCCACCAGCATTGTAGGAGGGTTCCCCTTTCTCCAGACCCTCACCGACATTTGTTGTTGTTTTTCTTTTGGATGGTGGCAATCCTTACTGGTGTGAGGTGATATCTCACTGTGGTTTTAATTTGCATTTATCTGATGACTAGCACTGTGGAGCATCTTTTCATGTGTCTGTTGGCCATCTGAACTTCTTTTTTGGAGAACTGTCTGTTCAGCTACTCTACCCATTTTTTAATTGGATTATTTGCTTTTTGTTTGTTGGGGTGGGTGACCTCTTTATATATTTTGGATGTCAACCCTTTGTCAGATCTGTCATTTATGAATATATTCTCCCATAGTGTAGGATACCTTTTTGTTCTATTGATGGTGTCCTTTGCTGTACAGAAGCTTTTCAGCTTGATAGAGTCGCACTTGTTCATTTTTGCTTTTGTTTCCCTTGCCTGGGGAGATATGTTCATGAAGAAGTCGCTCATGTTTATGTCCAAGAGATTTTTGCCTATGTTTTTTTCTAAGAGTTTTATGGTTTCATGACTTACATTCAGGTCTTTGATCCATTTCGAATAAACTTTTGTGAATGGGGTTAGACAATGATCCAGTTTCATTCTCTTACATGTAGCTGCCCAGTTTTGCCAGCACCAACTGTTGAAGAGGCTGTCATTTCCCCATTGTATGTCCATGGCTCCTTTATTGTATATTAATTGACCATATATGTTTGGGGGGCAGATAGTTTTAATCTCCCCTTTCAAAAAGTGTCCAGCCTCCAAAGGCCCTGCCTTTATGCAGTGTGCTCCATGCTAACTCCTAACAACAGACTCAAGACTGAATCTCCTGATACTGAATGGACATCAAATCCCAAGTCCTAAAACTACCAGGAGGGATCCAGCCTCCCTGACCCTTGGCTCCGCTCCCCCCGCCCCCCACCCTGCACCAACCTCCCCCACCAGGGGGCCTCAGCACCAGCTTAGCACCTGCTGCTCCAGTCCTCAGTCCCCTTCATGCCTTGAACTGTGGGGATTTTCCTGTTTTCCTTATGAGAACATCAATAACTTTTAAAGTTCAAAATATTATAGTTCATCATATTTTTCTAGTTACAACATACGTTTTTTGTTTTTGTCTACTTATTACTGAAGTGAGAATGGTCCCTTAGAATTTTTCAAGTGCCCTTTGTCATAGAGATTCAGGTACTGAAGATAATAGAGCTTTTTAAAAATCCACATGCTCACACAGCCCCAAGCTGGGCATCGTGTGTCTGCATCTTTTATTTCCAACAGAATAAAATCACCAGCCTGAAGGCAGGAGAACTGTCTGATGCAGCCCTGGCCACTCTGGCAAAGCCCTCTTCAAACACAGGCGATGGGGCCCGGGGCCCGTGCAGTCCCAGGGGGCTCCTCACCTCCTCACCTCCTGCTCCTCCTGGTCCTCCTCCTGCTGTTCCTGCTCCTCCTCCTCCTGCTCCTCCTGGTCCTCCTCCTGCTGTTCCTGCTCCTCCTCCTCCTGCTCCTCTTGGTCCTCCTCCTCCTCCTCCTGGTCCACCTCCTCCTGCTCCTCTTCCTCCTCCTCCTGCTGTTCCTGCTCCTCCTCTTCCTGCTCCTCCTGGTCCTCCTCCTCCTCCTGCTCCTCCTCCTCCTGCTCCTCCTCCTCCTGCTCCTCCTCCTCCTGATCTTCCTCCTCCTCCTCCTCCTGATCCTCCTGATCCTCCTTCTCCTCCTGATCCTCCTGATCCTCCTTCTCCTCCTGGTCCTCCTGATCCTCCTGATCTTCCTCCTCCTCCTGGTCCTCCTGATCCTCCTGATCCTCCTTCTCCTCCTGGTCCTCCTGATCCTCCTGATCTTCCTCCTCCTCCTCCTCCTGATCCTCCTGATCCTCCTGATCCTCCTGGTCCTCCTGATCCTCCTGATCTTCCTCCTCCTCCTCCTCCTGATCCTCCTGGTCCTCCTGATCCTCCTGATCTTCCTCCTCCTCCTCCTCCTGATCCTCCTGGTCCTCCTGATCCTCCTGATCTTCCTCCTCCTCCTCCTCCTGATCCTCCTGATCTTCCTCCTCCTCCTCCTCCTGGTCCTCCTGATCCTCCTCCTCCTGGTCGTTCTCCTGCTCCTTGTGCTCCTCCTTCCCCCCTCTGACAGCAGCTTTCCTTCGCTGTGCTGCTCTGAGTTCATCCTTCTGCTGCCCTGCACCCACTCCAGAGAAGATTAGGAAGAAATCAAGTCATGAACCTGCCCAACAGCCTTTGCCCTTGGAGTCTGAGAGTGGTCCACTGAGAGTGGACCAAAATCAAGGTCAATCCATCCCAAGTAATCACATGTGCGTCCTGATACTGGCAACGCAGGCCCAGACTTGCTGGGTATCACAGGTGGGAGCCAGGGAATGAGCTAGAAGAATGAGAAGAGAAATCTTTACCTGCCTCTTCCCAATCTGCCCTCCACCGGGACACACAGAGCAACACAGAGCGACAGTGCATGACACGCTGGGATGTCCTGGGCACCCACGCCTGCCCCTTTCTGCCGGCTGGCCCCCCAGGGCTGAGGGGCCTGCAGCAGCTCTGTACACCTGTAGCCCATCACACACAACAGTGTCCTGGTGGCACCGGATCAGACAGAAATAGGATGGGAAGCGGGGGGCCAGTGCAGCCTGCCCAGGGCTCCTGACCTTTCCGTCCTTCCCACAGTGGACCCACCTCCTCATTCCAGCCTCCTCGCAGCCTCACTGCCCACCTTCCCTGCGCTCTTCACATCCCCCTTGGCACCACCTCTATGTTTCTCATGTCACATCCCTCTTTAGAGCTCCTAAGAGGGCTCTGGGTAGCAAGCAGCAGGCCATGCGGGGAGTGGGGGGCTGGCCAGGCAACCGCTGTCCCTCTGCAGCACTGTCATCTTGATGGGGCTGTCCCCAAAGCCACCTCCTGGGGCAGCAGGCCCTGTGCCAGCCTCATCCTCCACCCTGGCTCCGCTCCCTAGATGCTGCCTCTGATAGTCCGCCATGCTCTTCACCTTCCAGGCATCCTGCAGACATTTCTTGTCAAGGCTACTCAGAACACTAGCTTGCCATGTTTAAAAAATTAGCTTTGTTATTTAAATGATTCCGGCAATAGGTTGCTGTTTCTTCACACACTGTCTTCCCACAGGGATGGAGTGGGGGAGCAGTTGTGGCATTTTTGAGGACTTGGGGGTGGAAACACTTGCTGGGGGGCGCTGGCCACCTCCCGACTTCCTCCTGCCCCACATGGGTTTCCAGGGCCACCTCTCTGATTGTCCCCATAGAGCCTTGAGGAAACGAGGACACCCTTGGGCTTGGGAGGCAGCCTAGGAAACGGCCATGTCCCAGTGGTGCCAGGACAGCTGAGCTGCAGTGTCCTCACCGCATGGAGATGCTGGAGATGCATAGCAGGGCCAGCCTCCCTGGGGGGCTCGCTCTTCTCTGACCAATGGACCTGTCCACAACAGTGTTCAGCTTTCGGCCTTCTCACTCCCCAGCTGGGCAGGTCAGGGATGCCTTCGGGCAGCATTTCTAGCCCCGCTGTGCGTACTGCATGGAGCTGGGAGACTCGGCAGAGAAGAGTCCATCTCTGGAGCAAACTCACTAATTCAGACTAGATGGAAAGAACTGCTCTGTGCCACAGCAAGTCTTCAGAAATGTTTGCACCCTCTTCTTCTTGTGGTTCTGCAAACGCAAACCAGGCTAGCAAGAGTTCTCCAAACCACTGTTGATGGGTCACCCCACAAAGCCTAGAAGATGGGGAGACTCATTTGTCTTTGCACTTGCAGCAGAGACAACTGGGTGTCACCCTTTCCCTTCCTTGCTGGCAACTGGCAGTGGTCCCTGAGACCCAGGGATACGAGTGGAGGCTGCGGGCTGCTTCTGGACAGGTGTGAGTGGTAGGCATCCTGCTCTGCTTTCTTTTCCTTCTGGTAGCTGGAGGCAGATGCTGGTGCAGTCCTACTGGACAGCAGAGCCTGGGCCCATGAGTTACCTCCTGGAAGAGAGCCACCCTGTGAATGGGGACCCTCGTCTTAGACTGTAGTGAGTGAGAAACTACCTTCTATGTGTCAGTGCAGTTGAACTGTTGAGGGGCTATTTGTTAGTGCAGGTGAGACTACCTTAACACACTCCCTTGTCAAGAGATGGTCCTGAGTCTCTGTATTATGAAGTTCTTATAATCTATGCATTCTTGCTTTTCATTATTGGTGGTGAAATTTAATCCGGATTCAAAAAATAATAATGAGAATCCAGGTCCTGGTAGAATTCATCATCAATTTCAAATTAATGGCAAGAGGGTTCAGTAAGATTTATTAAAAGGATGGTCCAATGACTGGGTTAGAAGAGTGTCCACATAGACACTGATGGGACAAGCCAGGGAGATGCTGCTGTCTTGGGGCACGAGATTCAGGGAAGCCAGGCTCCACACAGGGAGACGTGGAGAGGGGCCGAGTCTGTGGGCCGGAGGAGCCTGCACCTTACCTGACTCCCGCGTCCGGCCCCGCACCACCTCACTCCAGGGCCCGGCCCCGATGGCGTTGAATGCCTGCATCTGTAGCTCATATTCTGTCCACTCCTCCAGCTCCTCAACGGTGAATTCCCTCTCGAGCCGGTCATTGATGACTTGGGCCAGTGCTGGAGACTGGAGGTCAGGACGCCAGTACTTGATCCTGTAGCCCACCGACTCGGGGTTCCCGTTGTACTGGGAATCGGGCAGGGGCTGGAAGTGAACATCTGTGGTGAGCTGCCTTCTCAGAACTGTCACCTGTGGTCCCCAAGCATGGACCTGTCTTATGAGGCCAATTCCATGGAAAATATTTTCAGAGGGTATATTCTTAGAACCTCTATTTTTCCTTGGAACTTTTCTTCTGTTAATTAGATGAAATCTCTTCAGTAACTTTGTTGGGACATAATGTCATTTTGGCTTAATTTTGTGGGGAAATGATCTGATTAAGTATCAGGCTGGCTCTTGTACCAATATTGAGTACTGGTTCTGTTAGGCAGAAAAACAGACATGAACAGGGTGCAGAGAGAATAAAGCCAGTTAGGCCCACTAAAAGGGACTCAAAGAGTTAACCAGATATATATAACCAGAGAGCCAGAAAGTACTCAGAGTTAGTGAGCTAGTCAGTTGAAGCTCCAAAGGCCAGGAGTAACTCGGAATATCTGGATATTCCCCAGATTAAGAAAAGTATCTGAGCACAGACCACGTCTTCATTGCATCAATTAGATCATGCCATTGTAAAGTCTACTTAGCCTGCTAAAAGGCCCAGTTTATTCTTTAATTTAATGTATATGCTGTTTTTTCTTTTCTTCCAGTCCCTAATCAAGTAACTTTGTAATCAGGGCAGGAGGCAAACCTAGGAAATGTAAATAAACTTACACAGACAAAGAATGCTGAGATCCCAACCAACAGTCACCTAAATAACCCTATTCTTAAGACAAAACTTCAAAGGAATTATGAATCACCTGTATACATCATGCCTTATGCTAACTTCTACCCCAAAAGGCCCTATAAAACCCCAGGCTTTAAACTCTTAAGTATGCTTCCTCTCTGAGGTTGCCTACACTTGCTTTTCTTCAAGTGCATCACTCTCTCTGTCCTACTTCAGATAAGTAGGGAGGGGCTGCTGAGAGCTCTGATCTGGGCTTGCAAGTTCCTGTCACCTGGGTAACCTGGACAGAACTGCAGCTGTGTAATCATGCTCTTTAGCAGCCTGCCTGAAAATCTCCTTTCTTTGCCTTTGGGAAATTCTCAGAATATAATCTCACTCTATCCAGTGCTCTGTGGCTCCCCCAAATCCTGGGGTGGGAGAGAATTAGTCCCCACACTGTGCAGATCCAAGGAGACACTGGACTCCAGGTGACCCTGGCTTCAAGAGTTGGCAAGAGGTATGCCCCATGCTGAGCAGGAGTTCAATAAACTTCTCTTTTCTGCCTTTGTCTACCTTGACTCTGGCCCATCCTCCCTAGGAGTGTATTCAAATAAAACTTTCATTTTACTCTGCTACTATGTTTCTGCCTTTCAATTCTTTGTTGTGGCAGGGACAAGAACAAAGGAGAATAAACTCAACACCTAACAGCTCCATGCTGACCTGGTTTAAGGACTGACAGGTCCAGCCTATATCACAATGAGTAAGCTATGATAAGGTAGCCTTGGCTGATCTTAGGCCCAACACCAATCGTTAAAATGCAGTACTTTTTGGTTTAATGACAAGATTAGCTTTGAGCAGGAAAAAGGCTCGACTAAGAACTTACTGAACTCTGGGTTCATGTGTGAGCCCTGGGTACTCAAGACTACTGTCCCTGTGGCCACCTTCCCATGAACTCACCACCCAGCGGAGCCGCAGACTAGTCTCACTAGCAGTTCGGACGGTGATGCTGGTTGGAGCCACATCAGGGGGTGCCTGCAGCGTCTGGATGACACGGGAGGCCTGGCTGAAAGGACTGGCACCAACAACGTTCACCTGCCTCACGCGAAATCTACAGGCAGAACCATCGGCAAGAGTTACTCTGCAGCAAGCGTAACTGGAACAAGGGAGAAAGCAACAAAAACCCAGGACTGTTCCTCAGAGGGGTTCAGTTAAGTGTCTACCTGTGTAACAAAGGCCATCAGCCAAAGGCACCCTCTTTCCTGCTGGTTTCATTAAAAGTGCAAGTTACATATAGGGCCCCTTCCCTAAAAGCCTCCATAGAAGAGTAAATTCACTGCAACTCAATGATTTCCAGTTTCCAACGGCAGCATCATTAGATGTGTTACTTGGCCAGAAATGTCTTCAGTTGCCATTGGCTGATTCAGGTTTAGGGTCATATCAGGAGATTAGAGTTCAAGTGGCTTTTTAAAAGACTTGGAGTGTCAGAATGTTGCCACCATAACATAGCTTTGAAAGTCCAAGGTTCTCTGTTGGTTCAGAAGAGGAGCGATGGCCCACAGGCCACACTCTGGGGCTCCAAACCCATGGCCCAGAGACCTTCTGCAAATCACACTTGGCTCCGTGTCCTGGTCTATAAAATGAGGGTGGAGTTGGATGTTCTTTAAAGTCGCTGTTAATGTTTTCAGTTCTCTCTCTCCTTTATTTATATGTGCAATTATTTGAATTGCACTTATATACAAGAAAAATATCCTAAGCAAATGTGCATATTAAAGAGGCTTTCTAACTTTACATGAATTTAAGACAGGGACACTGATCCCTAACCCCAGTTTCTGATCTTTGAAATAACTGTAATACTAATTTCATGTGGTAGTTCTCCTATCCCTAACAAAAAAATCATTTTGTGTTAAATATTTGTTTTTCCCTATAAAGGAGTGTGTGATACCCGATTTGTCTGCTCTGATCTTAGGAAGGATGTTAAAATGAATAGAAGTTAAATAGCATCTCCCATTAGGTGTTTTTAAGAACTCTACCTATTGTGTTGTACTGAAAAAAATGTTCTTCACAAAGGTGTAATTTTACCTTTTACTCCCTGAATTAGTCATTCTTAGTCTTTTACTCACTGATCTTATGAAATGTATCTGTCCTGGCAGAACAATCACATTATCAAACTCAACATCTGGTGATAACTGGAAATTTCATCTCCTTCAACTATTTACGGGAAGTTATAGCACCTCTAACAGCTCATGATCACTGTAGCCTTTGTTAAGGCCAAGGATTTACTGCTTGAATATGTTTCAGGATCAGGAAGAAAGGTTAAATGGCATGTTAAGTGCTTCATTAGTGAGACCAGCCCCTCCCAGGCCCTGGGAGGGGAAGCAGGAGAGTATTCCTACCATGCTTTGTTTACACGCTTACACGCAGCATGTTAACAGTCCCAAGAGGGCTTAAGAGTTCTGCCTGCTGCTCTTGGTTGTATCATAATATAATAATGAGCCATTCCTGTTTAGTGTTTTGCCAGCTCTTGATGGGAGGACCATTGTCCGCTAATCTAGGATGGGGGATACCATCTCCCTTCGAATAATAACTTTGTGTTTTGCCCTAAGGCTCCATGTATCTTTATCACCACTTGGAAACATCTCACTTACAGGAATACACCTGGCCTGTGTGATTGCCGGCTGAAGCCACCTGCTGGGGATGCCAGAGTTCCTTTTATGCAGTCGGCCACCTGCTGCTCTCACCTGTAATGAGTGTAGGGCGTGAGGTTTGGGATCTCCAGTGTCTGGGCATCAGGCTCATTCTCCTCCTCGTAGAGGCTGACCCAGTCTTCCTCATCGCCAATGGCTCCAACCTGTGGGAGGAAGATCCTAGGATGGGAAGAACAGGCCATGGGGCAGAGGCTGCCATACACAGTACACGGAACTGCCTGGTGCGTGGCAGGCTGGCCGAGCTGCCCAGCAGCCCCTGCATGTGGAGATAAGCTGTCTTGCACACACATCCTCAATTTGTGCCTTGCAGACATGGGGTCCTGCTATTCCCACCATGCTCAGGCCCTAGGCCCCTGGAGGGTGGGGACCTGAGTGTGAAGCCCTTGGGAACAAACCTCCAAGGGCTAGTGAACCATGGGGGCAGAGGGGACCTCATGTGCCACCCTGTCCTTCCTCTTGGTTGACAGGTGAGGACTCACAGAGAAGCCCAGAGAGAGAAGACATGGCCAGGATCCCAAGCGGCTGGCTGTCCATACTTAGTGTCCACAGCCATTTCCACTACATGCTGACCAGGGGTCCCAGTCTCTCCCCATGCCCACCCTGCCACTTTCTGCCCCAAACACATACTAAAGACACATTGCTGGCCTTGACGTAAGGAGGTCCTCACCAGAGGAGGGCTTTGCCGGTCCGGGGGGCTGGGTGGCAGGCCAGTCATCAGATGTGAAAGAATAGCTTCAGGGAAGAGCTGATTCCTTCAGATGGAGACTTGCCCTTTCCAGGTTATCAGCAAACCCCTGGGGTACCCTGCAAGCTCTTCTGCTTCTGCCTCACCCGAGTCTCTGGTCCTGCTCAGTGAGCTGTCTCTTACTGATTTTGTTTCCTCTCTGTGAACTTCCCACCCAGCAGTCCAGCTCAGGTGATGTTTCACATGGCTCCAACCCTCCTATGGTCACCCTCACTGACCAGAGCCATTTCTCACTCACACTGGAGCCTCAAGGCCAGGTCTCAGCAGGAGAGCAGCAGGAGGAGACACTGGAGCCTCACGGCAGCCGAGAAGTTCCCACGAGTTCTGCCGGGCAGGTTTCTGCTCCCCTATCCGGGCCCACTCTGGGCCTGTGCAGGATGCATGACTCTGGGGGACCCAGGGGACACATGCAGATAGAGGGCTGCAAACACAGAGTGTCAGGCCAAACAAGGCATTGGAGGTGGGTCAGCCCAGTTGCCTGCAAGTGTGACCCTTCATGAATGACTTCAGTGGCAGTACCCACTTAAGCCTGTTAACTTTGCAGAGAGACCAAGTGGGCTGGTGGCCAGGTCATTGGAGGACGGCATGAGAACCAGAAATGGCCTTGGTAAACTAGAGAAATGGGCATGGGGGACGAGGAGGAAGTGAGCAGACACAAGCATGGGGTGGCACATTTCCTACAGGAAACTAAACGCAAAACACAAAGCCCTAATACTCTAAAAGAAAAATGAGAACAGTTTAGCAGCTCTTCACAAAGTGAAACACAGAATGACCGTGTGACCCAGCCATCCCGCTCTCAGGTATTTATGCCCAGACTTGAAAACCACATGTGCACATGTCCACAGCAGCTCCATGCACAACCACCAAAGGTGAAAGCAGCCCAAGTGCCCGTCAAATGATGGGTGGATAACAGACTGAAGCATTGTGCACATGCTAGACCATCATTTAGCTATGAAAAGGAATGAAGTGTTGATACATCCTACAGTGTAGGTGAACCTCAAAAACATGATGCTAAGTGAAAGTAGCCAGACATGAAACACCACATCTTGTATGACTCCGTTTTGTAAAATATACAGAATAAATGCGTAAAACAGAATGCAGACTGGAGGCTGCCAGGGGGCGCAGGGAGGACCGAGGGAGCGTGCTTAATGGATAGGGGGTCTCATTTGGGGGATGAACATGTTTTGGAACTAGAGGTGGTTGCACATCACTAACAAGGTGCTAACTGTGAACTGTACACTATAGAATGGCTGACTTTGTTATGTGAGTTTCACTTTAATTAAAAAAACATTAAAATAAATGGGTATGAATGGCCCAAAACAATGGGTGGAGAAAGATCCAGAGGTCAGAGTGGATAATGAGTAGCTCAGGAGTCAGGAGAGCAGCGAGGCAGTGGGACAGGGCACTGAGACCCGGGAAACACACGCACAGCCAGAGGGAGGGGCCGTCTCCTCCGTCCTCGGCTCTGTAACCTTCACTGCAGGCCCCAGAGCCTCACCTCACAGACACAAATGAAAGCAGAGAGAACAAGACTTGGCTGGAGAGAGGATCAAGACCATGCAGCACCATCTCGGAGAGGGACAGATGCGGGCAGATCTGGGCTGAGGAGCTCTGCAAGCAGGCAAGCCTAGTGCCCCGGGTGCCCAGGGCCACCGCCACCTCCCTCCACTGTGTTTGTGAATCAGAAAAGGAGGAGGGAGACCAGCTCTGGTCACACCTGGGGCCATGCTGTGCTGAGAGGTGAACAGAGGCAAGTGGCCCTCAGGGACAGATAGAGGCGAGTAGCTGATGCTTCTTGGGAACCTCGGGGGGTGCTCACTGAGGGACCCTCAGGAGCTCTGGCCCACTTCGGGCCTAGCAGAGAGGATGTCTCTGGAATGAAGGGAAGATGAGCCATAAGGTACGGGAGCTGAAAGAAGGCAGCTGTCAATTCCTTTACACCAGAAGAAGCCCGTGCTGGAAAAGAGTTTTTTTCTGAGCATTTGCTGCAGCTCAGCCACAGCCCAGGACACCTGTGGTGCTTCCAGGTGAAGGAAAACCAGGCAGAGCAGCAGGGAGGGAGGGTGCATGTGGGGTGCTCTAGCTCCTGGGGAAGACCCCTCAGGCCCCTGGCTGGGGGTGGTGATGGTGGTGGTGGTGGGGCCCAGACCAGGTGTTGGAGGGAGGAGTCCTGAGCCCCACATTTTCCCTGTTCATTAGTACCATTCTATAAATTGTTAATGTAGGAAATTCTTAGAGTCAAAATGCTACTGAATTCATTTGAATTGTACTGAGTGTTGAATGAAGCCCAGAGTCTGAGGTGCCAGGCAACCTGGCTCAGTGAAATGGGCCCTTGTGGTTTTAAACAGAGCACTTATGCTAATTCCTGGAAGATGAGTCAGAGGAACAAGGGAGGGAAGGGAGAGAAAAAGAGGGAGGAGACAGCCCGTCCCTCCGGCTGTGTGTGTGTTTCCCGGGTCTTGGTGCCCTGTCCCACTCCTTTTTTTCCTGATTTTGGTTTTTAGGCAGTCAATTCGACCTCCTGTTTCTCACCCATCCATGTTTAAATGCCTCAGAAGGAGCTGCACTGGGTGGACGCTACTCACTTCACCCAAGGAGGGCATGGGCCATCTGCACCTGCTCCCGCCCTCTGGGCACTGCAATCTCCTATTTTACAGCCTCACCAAATCTGTGCTTGAGTGAGGGAATCAGGTGGATGGTGGGTCCTGCTTATTACCTGGGTGTCCAGCCTGACTGGGGAGGCCTGTATACCTTTGCAAAGCCACTGCTCTCTCTGCGTGCCCAGCCCCATGCCTCCAAACTCAGCTGCTTTGTGTGAGTTCCCAGGAAGAGAAATAAACAAAGCTGGGAAATAAGGGGGTCCTGGTGGTGGCAGGTCTCTTGGCCTGGAAGCCTGTATGTATGGATTCAGTGTGTCCATGTGCTTCGCTGGCCCCGGAAGCAGTAGTCTGTGGGCTGGGTGGCTATCCTGACCCCTTGGAAGTCTGTCAGCCTATTCAGCTTCGAGAGCTCAGGGCATGATCTTGGCCACCCAGCTGCTGCTGGTTGATGGGGCTCAGCCAGCAGCCTCAGCTGGTGAGCAGTGGTCACTGATCCTGGGTTTCCAAGGCTGTTCCATCCACATGACCAAGAATACTGGAGAACAGGCAGGCCCTCTGGTGCTGCTGGATGAGAGATCTTCAGGAGGTGCCCACGGGTGCTAGAAGGGCATGAGGGGATAAGCCTCCAGAAGCAACATGCTAGTCTAGTTTCTCTGAGAGGCAGGCCCGCAACTCCATTGGCAAAGAGCCTGGGAATGGGCAGGGTCAGAGGACGGAGTCGCTTCTCAATCTTCCCAAGGAAGGAGAACTCTCTGCTTTGGTGAGCCTCTGAGGACAGTCTTTCATTTTAGAGCTCCAGGGCCCTGTTGTCATTCTCAAATAGATGCTGGTTGACTGTAGGGCCAGGACAAATGGATTGGGACACCCAATGTCACATTCCCTGATCTCCCATCCAGTGCCTTCTTCAAAGAGCTTGCTTTGAATGGGTGCCAAATTATCAGCAAGCCCAGGTGGACACCTCACGGCTCCATTTGGCTCTGCCTGCTGCTTCTTCCTGCAATCCCAGCCTGTCATCACCTGAAGGCATCACACAGGCACAAACACCTGTACCTCACAAAGGCTCTTTCCTCTAAAATGTGCCAACCCTTCTGCTCCTTTTCTGTGCAGCTGGCAAACTCCTTCAGAATCTGGAGAGCTTCTGGGCCTTTGGGAAACCTCTATGAACACACCACCTTGGCCCACTCCTCCCCAAGCCAGGCACTCAGAATGTGATGTGCTCATTGCATGATCCACGACATCTTCTACGTACCTCTGATGCAGTCAGCTCATATCTGTCAAAGCATCCACTGAAAAACGGGATACTCATCCAGATACATATGTGTCAGAGGTTTATTCTGTTCATTAATGAGGGAAGCAGCAGGGTGGTAAAACTGGATCAGAGGAGAATAGCAGTGCCAAAGTACATGGAGTCAACTAAAGAGAATGCTACAATAACATCACAAAGTTAGAAGTAAAACTGGTTATGAGCCTTTTGGTTTGCAACTTCAATCTTCTACATGTTTGCATCTAAGTTTAGAGTCTGGACCAAATCATGAATAGTAAGTCAAACACAGAGTTCTTAAGGCAGATGAGCCTTAGGCAGGCTTATTAAACAAGGCCTCAGTACGAATCAGCAACTGTTGGCCCATGGGCCAAGTCTGGCCCACCTCCTGTTTTTATAAATAAAGTTTTATTGGAACATGGCCACATTCATTGGTTTGTATGTTGTCAGTGGCCACTTTCATGCTCCCATAGCAGAGCCATGTAGTTGTAGCAGGGACCATCTAGCCCTAAAGCCTAAAGATTTATCACCAGCCCT